GACCAGCCCAGCCAGGATCCTGAGACCTGCTTCCTGGGGGCCCTGCACTTCCCTAAGGGAACTCAGTGATGGAGTGGCAGAGAAGGCGCCCACCGGTGAGTGGGTCTTCGCGTTTTAGGACAAGATCACTGAATTGAGCAAATTGCCTGGGCTCTTGGTGGGAGTAAGTTACAGGGAAGAGACTCTGACCCGGGTGTGTCCGACACCAAAGGGAAGGCTTCAGAAACACACCTTCCAGCTTTGCCGACACGTGCTTATTTCATCCCGGCAGAAACACCGTGAGGCGGGCGTCCTACACGAGGAAGTGCCAGAGACAGGAGATCGTCTGCCCAAGGCCTTTAGTTGAGGAACGTCTAACTTTCAAGCCCACCCTCCCTTTTCTGAAAGGTGCCTGAGCAGTACCTGATTGTCACACAGGACACACACTCCTGGACTCTGCCCCTCCTGTTCATTCTACCAGGAAGAGGGGCGGGTTCCTGCCGGGCTTTGTCGCTGCATGAAGGGGAGCACGGATGAGTTTTCTCATCCCTGAGCCCCGGTTTCCTCAACTGTAAGACAGGGCAGTGCTGCCTACCTCGCGGGGTGTTTGGAGACTGTGGTAACTGATGTCACCCGCACAGTTCCTGCACGCAGTAAAAAACACAAATGTTAATCCCTGCACGTGACCCACGCGTCCCCCCGATGCGCTCGGCAAGGAGGAACGGGCAGGGGAGGAAGGGCTGGGCGGATGCAGCCAGAGGGGCGTGAGCTTGGTGGAGGCTTTTTCTTACATTGGAAGTGGGGGTGGGAAACACTGGCTGGAGGTGCAGGTACCTAGAGAGATTTCCCAAGGTTGGAAATGCTCCCCATAGTTTAGGAATATGAGTTTAAAATCATGCCTGTTCATAATAGATTAAAAAATGTGTAAAGAATTTTAAAAATCATAATAATAATCGTCTCAACCCCCATCCTTATTGTCATACTTTTTTTCTTTCTGTATCTTAAGACTTTTTCAAGTTGGTCTATACTTTGAAACCCACAACTCTTTTTGATTATAAAAGCAGCATATATTTATTTTAGAAAATATTGAAACTCAGCATTTTATTTAGGAGATAATAAAACCTAGCTGTAATCCAGCATCCAGATATAACTATTGATCTCTTTTATTTATTTATATTTTTAAAAAACCTTTTTTGTGAGATAGCCCCTACCTGGAGCTGTCATGTGGATAATATCTTAATCTGCCATTCTTTGTGTAGTTTAAAAACTTGCTTTTACTTTATTATTGTTATTATTTTTGAGACATGGTCTCACTCGGTTGCCCAGGCTGGAGTGCAGTGGCATGATCTTGGCTCACTGCAGCCTTGACCTCTCCCGGGCTCAAGTGATCCTCTGACCCCAGCCTACCGAGTAGCTAGGACTACAAATGCTGCACGCCACCACTCTCAGCTAATTTTTTTTTTTTTTTTTGTATTTTTAGTAGGGAAAGGGTCTCCCCATGTTGCCCAGGCTGACCTCGAACTCCTGACCTTAGGTTATTCACCCACCTCAGCCTTCTGAAGTGCTGGGATTACAGTCATGAGCCACCATGCCCGGCCTCTGTGGTTTCATCTGAGTATTTTCAGAGTTGCCATTGTTTTAGTTTCCCTGGCTAACATCCATTCATCTGTCCATCTATCCATCCAATCACCCATCTGTCTATCCATCCATCTATCTGTCCATCTGCCACCCACCCACCCATGCGTCTATCCATCCATCTGTCCATCCATCCATCCATCCATCCATCCATCCATCCATCCATCCATCCAGTTGCCCTTGCAGAGCCCAGCCTGTGCTAATGGTAGAGTGAAAGGTAATCCTCCTTTTTGTGAATTTTATATTTTTAAGGAAAAGGATGACACATACACCGCCTGATCTGTAATGATACTATGTGGTGCTAAAATAAGACTTTCTCTGCAAACACAGACTGTGGAGCAACTAAAACCAGAAGTGAGGAAGGCTTATTAGAGAACGCACCATGGCAGCTTGAGCTTAAAGAATGAGCAAGAATTCTGCTCCTCAAACCAGAATGGGGGTTGTCTTAGGCAGCGAGAATTGCACAGGCAAAAGCTCCACTATTAATATATGAATACACAAATACTCCCTACACACACATACACACACACACCCATAGGCGGTTCATCAGGAGAGCCACAGGCAATTCCATGAGCTCGTGCAGTAGGACAGAGGGGAGTGAGGCATGAGGGCGACTGGGTTAGGAGCAGATTGCTCAATACTTTATTTACCAGCCTATGGTAAATAGACTTCAAGAATATCTATTGTGTAAAAGCTCTTCTTCAGGAAATTCCCAATACTTTTACTTCTTCCAATTAAGTCCTGCTAGGAGATTCAGCTTACTGTTATTCCCCTAAATGACCCCGGGGAGGGCAGGTGGGAGACAGCTGGTGGAGCCGGGCCGGGCCTGCCCCAGGACCCAGTGCTGCCCCGTCTCCCACTGCGTCATGCTCGGAACTGCACAGAGCACCCTGACTTGCTTGGGTTCTGTCTACAGGATGCAGGGGCAACCGGCAACCTGCCTTAACATTCCCGAGGCTTCGCTCAGCCCCGTGCATGGCTGTGACAGGCGTCAGCTCGGACGGGGCCGGGAGTCTGAATGACTCAAGAGGCATCATGGCACGGTGGCTGATGGCATGGGCAGTGGAGCCAGTTGCTTGGCTCATTTCTGGCTCTGCCCCTTAAAACTACATGGCTTATAAAATGCATATTGATGAAATCACATAAATGGCTAATCACAACACCTCCCTCCCAGAAGGCTCCTGCGGGTGCCGTGTGTGAATATGATGTAACACACACCAGAACGCTGCCTGGCAAAATAGACGCCACTGCTCTGTGTCCGTTTGGACTTACGTGTCGTCAGGTCACGCTGCAGTCCAGCTGGTGTCTTAGGATGTCCTTCATAAAAAACAAGCTAAAAGAGGTCAGGTGTGGTGGCTGATGCCTGTAATCCCAGCACTTTGGGAGGCTGAGGTGGGCGGATCACTTGAGGTCAAGAATTCGAGACCAGCCTAACCAACATAGCGAAACTCCGTCTCTACTAAAAATACAAAAATTAGCCAGGCATGGTGGCGGGTGCCTATAATCCCAGCTACTTGGGAGGCTGAGGCAGGAGAATCGCCGGAACCCAAGAGGCAGAGGTTGTAGTAAGCCGAGATCGTGCCATTGCACTACAGCCTGGGTGACAAGGGCAAGACTCTGTCTCAAAAAAAAAAAAAAAAAAAAAAAGTTAAAAGAGTATAGATTGTACTCTGGTGGGACAGACGCTAATTCATGTTGCTAGGTATATTATGGAACATTTAGTTATTTATTCAGTTACTCGAGAAACTCCACCCCGCAGTAGACACCCTCCCCATTTCTAAACTACACAGAAAATACTGCCTACAATTGGCTTTAGTTTGCTTTTATCCCTGTAGTATCTCGTTGCCTGAACCATTGTAGGTATCCCGAAGGCAGGCACTAAGAGCAGAAGCCACTTTTCTCGTCCCCCAGGACAGCACAGAACCTTTTGCTTTTAGTAGCCGTATGGCCAAGTTAAATATGGGCTGCATTTTACAAGGAAAATATACTTCCTAAGTGGTGTTTCCTCCTGGCTAGCTTTAGGCTGTGTAATTCTGCACATTTTGATAGTCCCCTTACACTATTTTCTATGCCTTAAAGAGTCCTGAGAACATGTGGATCAGAGCTGGGCGTGAGGACGGCCATCTCCACGGAGCATCGGTGTCAGTGACGGCACCAACTCCCTTCTTGCTTCCCCTACCTTCGATCTTGCCTGCCCAGAAGCTGTGGGCCTGTTTTCATTTGGGCCTGGAGAGAAAATAACTTTGAAAAGCAGTATGTGTACCAACAGTTGAAGGTGAATCAATACATTGAATCAAAGAGAAATCCTGACCAGGCGTGGTGGCTCACACCTGTAACCAGCAAATTTAGGAGGCCGAGGCAGGTGGATCACTTAAGCCCAGAAGTTCAAGACCACTCTAGGCAACATAGCGAGATCCTGTTTCTACTAAACATACAAAAATTAGCCAGCTGTGGTGGTGCACCCCCGTAGTCGCAGCTACTCGGGAGGCTGAGGTGGGAGGAGCTCTTGAGCCCAGGAGTTGAGGCTGCAGTGAGCCATGATTGTGCAACTGTCCTCCAGCCTGGATGACAGAGGAAGACCCTGTCTCAAAAAACAAACAAACAAACAAAAAAACAAATCCTGAGATTCCCTAGAGGTTTCTAAGATGCTATAATTTTTCTTAGATTTATGGCTTTTCTTTCTTAATTAACCTTGCGATTCATTGGCTATTTAACTGTGTGAATGGCATCTTTCTGGTGCTGATGGAGGCCATGTGGGTGCGGCCCACACAAGCACTATTCCAGGGACACTGTGGTCTAACGGGGTGTGGCGGGACACAGGCAGTTCGTGTAAGACGCTGGAAGGAATTTTTGTTTGTTTTTGAGACGGGGTTTCACTCTTGTTGCCCAGGCTGGAGTGCAATGGCATGATCTCGGCTCACTGTAACCTCCGCCTCCTGGGTTCAGGTGATTCTCCTGCCTCAGCTTCCTGAGTAGCTGAGATTACAGGCCTGTGCCACCAAGCCTGGCTAATTTTGTACTTTTTTAGTACAGATGGGGTTTCGCCATGTTGGTCTTGAACTCCTGACCTCAGTTGACCCACCTGCCTTGGCCTCCCAAAGTGCTGGGATTACAGACTTGAGCCACTGCGCCCGGCTGAAGGACTTAGAAGCAAAACATACCACAGAAGTTTACATAAACTGCCTAAGTCAATTAATGCATTCTTTAAAAAAAATTAAGCTGACTGTAATGATTTCAAAGGAAGATTCTTTTTAGCAAGCAGTATTACTAAAATAGAGAATGATACTTAATTCTGAATAAATCCTAACGTCCACATTAAATATATAATGTCCACTTTGGGAAATCATACAAAATCTTATTTTTTAATTTGTATTAATATTAAAGAAATGTATAGAAACTGAAAAGTTTAGATATTTATAAGGCCCAGAAGAAACTTACATCCTCTGGAGGGGAAATACTACGTATATTTTATTGTTTTCATTGAATACTATTTATATTTAATTAGCCCTTGTTCTTATGAAATGATTTCCTAATTACCAGCAAGAAGGAAACTGGTCACTTACTGCTGCACCCCTACATGCCTTCCTTGGAAACTGCAGTGCTGACTTTCTGTGTATCACCTGGTTGTGACTCCAGAAGTGGGCTCAGGAAACCCCTGTTGACTTTCACGCAGGGAAAAAATCCTTCCAAACGCTCTGGTGGGGGGTGGGAGAGTTTCAGTAAATTTCACAGTAACAAGGATGAACGCTCCTCAGGGAGCCTCTTAGTGAAATTCTGATTCTAGAGCCAACCACACAATGGTGGTGGGAGGAATCCCTTTGGAAATCCCTGACTTCCCATCCGAAAAAATCTGACCCTAACAGTCACCGCAGTTGCTGACGCCTCAGAGGACTGCTAAACCCAAAGGCCCACTCCTCTCCATCTATTTTAAGGTAAACATTTCAGTAATGGGTCATTCTGGGAAAAAAAACCAAAAACCAAAAATCTCTTAATGTTGAGTTTCTTTTAACATCATTTGAGACAGAAAAGGGCCTCCATTCTGCAGGGAGACCCCCGGGAGGGCAGGCACCTTTAGTGCTGTGAGACCGTCTCCCAGAAACGCTGCCCAGAGCCTCCTAGAGGGGGCAGCGGAGGGCTCCCGAGCCCCTGATGCAGCCTTGCTGCTCCTCGACAGCGTAGCTGAAGATCTTGGTGTCAGAAACAACATCGCTGATGGTGGTGGACAGGGACCTGCTGGCCCGCTTTGGGCTGTATGGCAGGTGATCTCAGTGGAGTGGTGTCTAAGAGGCCTCGTGATTCCTCCCGGTGAGAGTGCGAGGCTGTACCATGCTGAGACCATCCCCGGCTCTGCCAACTTGCTCTGTCTGTAATGTGAGCAGGGAGACGGCGGAGACGACAGAATAGGATAGGGCCACAGAATACGAGAGGGCCTCCACTTCTTGCTGGAAGGGGCCCCTCAGAAGGACACAATTTAATAACGTGTGTGTGTTGGAAAAGTAACATAAAGACCACTTGAATCATGACTTTTGAGATGACTGAGTTTTATTCTTTCTGGGGCCAGCTGGAATAAGAACCAGTTCTACCCCAGGTGCGAGTTGAACATCCCAAATTTGAAACTGAAAATGCTCCAAAATCTGAAACATTTTGAGTGCTGACATAATGCTCATTGGATCCTTTCAGATTTGGGGTTTGGGGAGTTGAAATGTAAGTATAAATGCAAGTATTCCAAAATTCAAAAAACGGGAAGTCCTGAAGAGCTCAAGCATTTGGGAGGAGGGCTACTCAGCCTCTAGCCAGACAGCTTCCTTGTTGGCACAGCAGAGATGGGTCCCTTGCTGCTGGGGGCGCTGCTGGCTGCTTTCCAGTGTATCTATTTCATCATGGAGATGTCTCTCTTGCTTAACTGAGGTTATAACAAAATGTATACTTATCAAACAGTCTTTCAGGCCTTGAACTGATTTCATAGGACTTTTCAGCGCAGAGGTCCAAATTTAAGGTTTTAAAATGCATTTTACTGATTGCATGACTTCCCTTCAGTCTGTGATGATTAATTACATAAAGATGACTTTCAGGATGGAGGCTCCTGTACACCGCAGGACGGTCCAGCCAGAGAAAGAACTAGGGAGCTCTGAGACCCCTTTCTAGGCCAAGAAGAAAGTTTACTCCATTGGATTTCTAGGGGCTCTGTCTTCTGTATCTTACAGAAGCAGTGTTAAACGAATAAGCCAACTGAGACAGCCAGTTCTCAGATTTTATTTCAGACGTGAGGTTCGTGTGTATTTCTAATCCGATAGAGAAGTTTGTCTTAGATTTGCTCTCCCTCTCCTTTGTATGACTCAGCTGGCCGGAAAGACTACAGTCTTCAGGGTCGGTGCCCTTCACTGATGCAGCTTCACAGCTTTTCCAGTTTGAGTCACCCTTACATTGTGGTCCTTTCCCTGGCCCTGGACTGGGCACCACTGGACAGCAGGATGGGGGCCTGGGGTGAGCACCTGTCAGTGTGGGCATGGCTGGGTGAACACACGGGACCCTTGTGTCCTGCCCAGCCATTGTCTATGACCTATCCTGGGGATCAGAGCTTCAGGATACTAAAAAACCTTCTTAATATTACATTCCCCAGGCATCTTATGACAATTCTGTGCACATAGGGAGTGTGCCAACATTTTATTGTGAAAGATATCTGGCAGACAGATGGAGGGAGAGAAAGAGACGGGGAGAGTTAAACGTCTGGAGTTTCCAGCTTGACACTTTTATTTCTGAGAATACTGGGAAAGCCTTTTCAGGGACAGAGTGACAGGAAGAGCAGGGCATTTACAGTAAGCAGGTAACGCTATTGCGTATAATAAGTAGAACATCAGAAGATGCTGGGGATTAAGTATCATTTTAGCAATCTCACTTGAGAGCTGAACATGCATTCTGTATAAAGATAAGCCTGGTCATGTTTTGGATGGTTTTGTTGTCTACATTTTTTTCTTTAGAAAGCCAGAATGAAGTTGCCTTATGTGGACTCCAAGACCTCTAAGTTTCTTCCCAGTATGTTAGGGAGTGCCCGTGAAGCGTTTGCCAATTTAGGCAGGATATTTGATTGTATTCTATAATGCATCTGCCGGCACTCACATCTGCCTTCCACATACTTCATTCAGTCTTTCCGCTTTGATTTTCCTTTTGCTGCATTTAGGCTGTTTGGATAATTGCTTCTCTGAGGTTTTTCAGGGTTGTAATTCTAAGAGTTTAAACAGATTTAGGAGTTGGCGCCATTTGGGGTCCTGAATTCATGCTGTTGGCTGAAGCTGATTCCAGAGAAGCATCCTAACGCCTTTCTACAAATAGTTGTAACCGAATTTGAAATAATTAACTGGGAAACACTGAAAGAAAACTTGTGATCTGTTAATAAATTAATAAAACCACACAGTCCAGTCATGCTTTCTCACTAAAAGGAGTTCTTGATGCTACTTACACTTTTTATGTTGAAAACAGGAAATTGTTGATACTCGACTGCTTTTGACCTACAGAACTAGTAACTTCATATGGTTCAGCCGATGCGTGTCAGGCCTTAATGTTTGGTGGTCCCTATTGCTTGAACTGGGCTCTCCTGAGTCCTCAAAATCAGGAAAGGAATATCGAGAGGGTACTTTAAAAAATTCCTAAATAATTCTGCATGTCCTATTCATCAAACTCTCCAGCAGAGAAAAATCACAACCCCTTTACAACCAAAACTGAATTCTATAATCTGAATATTGGAGAGGGAAGGGTGGTAGACTCCACTGACACGAAATAACCTTACTGAAAAACGCACAAATATCCTCTCTTTCTGTCCTATAAACAGGAACAAGAGAATGGTGAGAGGACGCGGAAACACCTGATATCCCAGCAAAGGAAGCTGCAGAGGAAGGGTCCTGCCCCGTGAGCAAGGACGGCCTCCAGGAGCACAGCGGCTTCTCCTGACACCCCCCGGCAGTGAATTACAGATGACCCCGTATATGGGGAGGTGCGGACACCGACACACTGGGAGAGCTCCTGAGACCAGCGCGCAGGACCAGTGTCCTCCCCGTGACCTTGCAGTTGTGTAGCCACAAGTGGGAGCCACAAAGAAGGAGAGCCCACAGGGGGACTCTTTTCAAGACATGGGGTTAAATCGGGGCTCTGAAGTTGGGGCCACAGCCGATCTCAGCTTTCTGCGTCCTGGGGGTGCGGTGATATGATGGAATGTGGAGTGAGTGGGTGAGCACGGACTCCTGAAAGGGCGCACCAGATACCTGGTTATCCGCTACTGCAGAGAGACACCTGGTCAGCCGGCGTTGCAGAGAGGGGCAGCTAGTCACTCAGACTGCAGAGAGAGACACCTGGTCAGGCAGGCTGCAGAGAGACACACCTTGTCACCCAGGCTGCAGAAACCGCCACAGTCAACTGCAGCTCCAGTCAGTGCTGTATGTTGGCTGATGTGGTCTTGCACCGGCTGGAGATCCATTCACCAAGACTTTCTGGGAAGATTTAAAGTGACTGGGGTTCAGAAGTTCAGCAAGAGTTGGACACACCCCTCCTCACTGGAGAGGAGAGGGGAAAGGCGGGGGATGGGGATCAGCGTGTGAGATTCCCCCCCCCCTCACACACACACACACACACACACACACACACAGCAAAAAAGCGTGGACACACAGAAGTGAAATCTGATCGCGTGCCAGGAAAAGCTGTGAGGCTGGAAACCCCGGAGTAACGCTCGACCTTGGCCAGACCTGCAGGCTGTGGAGCCGGGGGAGTGCGGGCGCAGCACAGCCGGGCCATGGAGCACGCGGTGGCCCCCTGCGTCCTCTACCCAGGGACGGAGCCCGGGGCTGCGGGGGAGGGCGAGAGCGAGGGCGCCGCGTCCCCGGCGCAGACACCCTGCAGTCTCGGCGCGTCCCTGTGCTTCAGCTCCGGGGAGGAGTCCCCGCCGCAGTCCCTCGCTTCAGCGGCGGAAGGCTCGGCCACCTCCCCGCCCTCCAGCGGTGGCCCGCGGGTGGTGGAGCGGCAGTGGGAGGCCGGCAGCGCGGGCGCCGCGTCCCCGGAGGAGCTCGCGTCCCCCGAGGAGCGCGCGTGCCCGGAAGAGCCCGCGGCGGCGTCCCCCGAGCCGCGCGTTTGGCTTGAGGACCCCGCGTCCCCCGAGGAGCCCGGAGAGCCCGCGCCCGTGCCCCCGGGGTTCGGGGCGGTGTACGGGGAGCCGGACCTGGTGCTGGAGGTGTCCGGGCGCCGGCTGCGCGCGCACAAGGCGGTGCTGGCGGCGCGCAGCGACTACTTCCGCGCGCGCGCGTCGCGGGACGTGCTGCGGGTGCAGGGGGTGAGCCTGGCGGCGCTGCGGCTGCTCCTGGCCGACGCCTACAGCGGGCGCATGGCGGGCGTGCGGCCCGACAACGTGGCCGAGGTGGTGGCCGGCGCGCGCCGCCTGCAGCTGCCCGGCGCCGCGCAGCGCGCCACCGACGCCGTGGGGCCGCAGCTGAGCCTGGCCAACTGCTACGAGGTCCTGAGCGCGGCCAAGCGGCAGCGGCTGAACGAGCTGCGCGACGCCGCCTACTGCTTCATGAGTGACCACTACCTGGAGGTGCTGCGCGAGCCCGCCGTGTTCGGCCGCCTGTCGGGCGCCGAGCGGGATCTGCTGCTGCGCCGCCGCCTGCGCGCCGGCCGCGCCCACCTCTTGGCCGCGGCGCTGGGGCCGGCGGGGGAGCGCGCGGGCAGCCGGCCGCAGAGCCCCTCGGGGGACGCGGACGCGCGCGGGGACGCGGCCGTCTACTGCTTCCACGAGGCGGCCGGAGAGTGGCGCGAGCTGACGCGGCTGCCCGAGGGCGCGCCGGCGCGGGGCTGCGGCCTGTGTGTCCTCTACAACTACCTCTTCGTGGCGGGCGGCGTGGCACCCGCGGGCCCCGACGGCCGCGCGCGCCCGTCAGACCAGGTCTTCTGCTACAACCCGGCCACAGACACCTGGAGCGCCGTGAGGCCCCTGCGCCAGGCGCGCTCGCAGCTGCGGCTGCTGGCCCTGGACGGCCACCTCTACGCCGTGGGCGGCGAGTGCCTGCTCAGCGTGGAGCGCTACGACCCGCGCGCTGACCGCTGGGCCCCCGTCGCGCCGCTGCCCCGGGGCGCCTTCGCCGTGGCGCACGAGGCCACCACCTGCCACGGCGAGATCTACGTGTCCGGGGGCTCGCTCTTCTACCGCCTGCTCAAGTACGACCCGCGGCGCGACGAGTGGCAGGAGTGCCCGTGCAGCAGCAGCCGCGAGCGCTCGGCCGACATGGTGGCTCTCGACGGCTTCATCTACCGCTTCGACCTGAGCAGCAGCCGCGGCGAGGCGCAGGCGGCGGGGCCGGGCGGAGTCAGCGTGTCCCGATACCACTGCCTGGCCAAGCAGTGGAGCCCGTGCGCTGCGCCCCTGCGTCCCCCCGGAGCCCCCACGGGCCTGCAGCCTTTCCGCTGCGCCGCCCTGGACGGCGCCATCTACTGCGTGAGCCGCGCGGGCACCTGGCGCTTCCAGCCCGCCCGGGACGGCGAGGCCGGCGGCGACGCAGGCCAGGGCGGCGGCTTCGAGGCGCTGGGCGCCCCCTTGGACGTCCGGGGCGTGCTCATCCCGTTCGCTCTCAGCCTACCCGAGAGGTCGCCCCGAGGGGAGCAGGGAGCCGCGTAGGCCGGCGGGGTCGGCGGGCGTCTCCCTCGCAGGGGGCTGCGGGGCCCGGGTCCCATCGAGCCCACGGAGGAGGACGCGGGGAGTCGGGGCAGCTAGCAGTGCTGGTGGTGTGGATGCTTCGAAGGAGCCTCGAGGACGCTCTCAGGGCCGCTTCCGCTTTGCTTTCCTTTTGCTTCTCTTTGCTTCTAGGGGTCGATGCCTTGAGACCCAGGTGGTGTGCGGATGGGTCCCTTGACAGACTGGACACGGGACACAGAGAAGGCTGTGGGATCCAAAGGGTCATCCTCAGGGCACAGTGCGGGGTCCTGAGGCAGCCTGCAGCCGGCCCCGGGGTGTCCCGAACCCCGCAGAGCACCAAGGCTGTGCGCAGAAGCCTGGGACGCAGAAGTAGGTCGCCGCGAACTATCAAGGGAAGCACGCAGAGAGGGTCACACTTTTTATTTTTGACTTGAGATTTAAAATTATAACTGATAAGTAAAGCTCTTTCTAATTTAGTTGAAAATTTCATACCATGTGCTTGCTTTGGTTGGCTCAACTCCAAAAAGAGTAATTTAATAAGCATTAAAGGTAAAATCTTTGATTACCAGTAAGGTTTCTTGTCCAATATGCATTGGAAGTATTTCTTTCCCCACACCATTGCTACTCAAATTCACATGTCTAGAGCAGCTCCGGCGCACTGTTGGACCGACGGGGCTTTCATATTTTCAGTTTAAGGGATGTTAACTGATGTAGCGATGATTTACCATTATTTAAATTTTAAGTCTTTAGTGGCGAAATGTTACCAAACAGCACATCATAAGTAAGAAAAACTTACCGGGGTGCTTGTCTAAAGAGCAATCTTTGATAGCCCACTCCGTATCCCCGGCCGCTTTCATATTCTGGAACAGGATAAAATATTATTCCTAAAAAACGGGGAAAATCATTTTGTTTTGACAGTTCTATCAAAAAAAAGTGTAGGCACATTTTGAACTCACTGTTTATGATGTTTTAAATATGGATCGTGTAGTTCTGATGAGGGAGATTAATTTTTACAATCATTATTCTAAGAAAGTGTGGCCGAGTGACAGTGGGCACAGTAAGGTTTATAACAAGGAAATGACATGCTTATCACCATAGATTAGCAAGTAAACTGCATGTACTTAATTGTATTGAATTAAATTCCAAAATAACCCTGATAGAATTAACATGAGGCTCACTGCATTGACAGGGTATGAGGATTAAAAACAAATCATTTGGGTCGTTTCTCATTTGTTTTAACATTTTACTTTTCAAGTGTGTACACAGAGGACTTACGAGTTTGAGGATGAGATTCATGCTCACAAATAGAGGCAAACATTTGAACTCCGAATCCAACCCGTTCTCTTACTGTAAGAGGAAAAGTAAATGAGTTACTGGAATGTAACTAGTTGAAATCATGCTTACTTTAATATTATTTGTTTGTTAATCCAGTGATGGGAACTGCCATCTCTGTAGAAATCAGTGGGTAATTGAAAAAATAGGTTATGCTTTTTAAAGAGTCTGTCGTTATGAGAAGTCTCAGTTAAGTGTGTTTAGAAGTGATCAGCTTGAACCTTACGCATGACTCGGGGACTGGAATTTATGATCTGGGTTAGAGTATGTTCTGGGGATGTGTCTGCTTGCCCATGGTTACTCATGAACTGAGGGGATAGCTTGGCAACTTGGTTAATCATCTTGGGAAAGAAAAACAGACTTCATATCGCCTGACTTGATTCACCTTTTATAGGAGTATACTGGAGAAATGGTTGTAGAAACAGTATTTACAGCAAAAGGAAACAAATAATGTTCATTTTCAGCAACGTACCATTCGCACTGTCCGGCCTTTTCCTCTAGAATTTTATTATTAATGGTAGAAATTTTTATATGAGAGGGGACCAGGACCAGGCTAATATTTTCAGTCCTTAAATATCAAACTCATATGCTATTATCCTGTGATTTTACTTGTGAAATCATTCCTGTAATGTTTATTGTTTGAAAATGCAATGTGGAAATTGGGCTTCCAGAGTAACACTGTCCCGGCAAGAGGATATGAGAAGTGGCGGCTGCAGTCACGTGCAGTTCCTGTGGCTTTCCAGCATTTCATTTAGTGAAGGAATGCCCACACTAGACGTAGCACAGCCTCCTGTGGGGCCCCGGCAGCAAAGCCCCAGGTACTCCCTGTCACCTCACAACAAAATGCACGAAGAAACCTAAAGAATAAGAGAAAGGAATTAATACCAATCATTAAAGGATGTCCAGCCAACCTATTGTGGAAATATATAGAATAGTGTACACCACGTTTCTAAATAGTGATATCACATAGAAACACATACTAGAGGACCTGCCACGCCATGAGCCACGTTTTTGCTTTTGGGGGGCCAGTCCCTGGGGTGTGGAGCTGCTAGGGTTTGCACCCATGAAACAAAGAGAAAAGCCCCACCCTCCAAGGCTTTGATTCTGGGACTGCTGCGGGGAGGGCAGAGGCATCGCTGAGACTGCCTGGCGCCGGCTGATGCCCCAGGTAGGATCTTTTCGAATTCAAAGTGATGGTCTAAGTGTGCGTCCAACACTGTGTAGGAAAACGGTTGGTGCAAAAATATTCCTGGTCATCCACCCGTTAAAAGAGTTAGATGAGGCTAGTGCCTTGATAACAGCTATCCACACTTCTCATGAAATTAACCCATATACTGGGGCGTTTCCAAATGTCTGAAAAGGCAGTGGTGTCCTTTGGGGAAAATGTTATGCACGGAAGCCTGACCTTTTGCTTAGTTGACAGCAATCCCTTCTCTATTGCCAATCAAGGTTTATTTGGGATGCAGAGGAATGAGCTTGAACCTTCCTCCTTTTCCTTCCGGTTTTATTCTTCATCTTGGGAACAACCCTCCACTCTGCACTGCTTCCTGCAGCTTTGTAGAGCTGGATTTGGAACTTCAGGATTTGGTTTCTGAGTCTGTGGAGGCACCGACTTCTCCTGTAAGAAAATGAATGCTGTGGAAATCCTTTGGCTACTTAACTAAAACTCGTGACTGTATCAGTTTGGCTACAAATAAGAAGTTAATCATCTGCTCTGTTTCTGCTAATTTCTGGTGTCACTTCAGTAATTCTGGTAACAGCCATTGAATCTGTCGGTCACTTCCTGTAAACGATTTGAAAATAGGATGTTTGCAGCGTTCTTTTGTCTTCCTGAAGTCAAGATAGATTCAAGACATAATCTCTTGTAAGATCTTAGTAGAGCAAATGTAAGCAAAAGTGCATTTTTGTGTTCTTGTTAATTTTAGATGCTTTCCTAGCTTACAAAAAGTTTTATTTTTGGGTTAAAAATCAATCAACTTTCTGATTTTTCCCCTTCTGCAATGTTATTATTCATAACAAGATAACACGAGCTGAAAATGGAAATCTGCAGTTGTTTCAGTTGCCTTGAATTTCTTTCAGTGGCCACATCATTTCCACGTTTTCCACATCCAGGAGGAAGTCTGGGCTGTGCAGCCTTCAGGCACCCGGCACAGACACTGTGTTGGCAGGTGCTTCAGACACGCCAAGTGAATGGATTTGGATGGAACGCACATAAAACAGGAGACGGGTTCTCATGTGAGATCAAAGCTCCTCCAAAGCCTATTCAAGCTCTAAGCGATTCTCAAATGTTACCATTTATTAAAGGTACACTACACCTGTTGAAGGCCAAGTTCAGGCCAGCTGTTGTGATCTGTGTAATGTATTTATTAATGCTTGAGTTTTAAAATCCTGGGCATAAATAGTGCAGAGCCTTGTATGTCTGTCAGTTCATGCCGAGATGAAATAAATCATGCAGAAAGTGCCAGTGCTCCTGGTGTGCCTGGGTTGCTTTCTTCTTTCTCCACAGCGAGTGTCTGATGAGGCATTTTCTCCTGTGAATCAGGGATCCTAGCTCTGCACGCGGGACCCAGGGCTGACACCTCCCACCGTCAAGTGAGGAACTGCCCTCACCGGCTCCTGAAGCTCCCCCCGCACAGAGCTTCTAAGTTGGGGTGTCCGTTCCCACTCCCAGGTGCCTTGGATTCCTCGGTCTGCTCACGGGCCCCAGCGGGGGATCAGGGCACACCACATAGGGCCTCAGGAACACCAGGGTGGGTGGCACAGGAGCACGTGGAAGCCGAGGTCGGCGCCTTGACTGTGGTTCCCCGGGAAGGCAGGTTGGGGCAGAGGGAGTCGCTTCACTGCACTGGTTTGAGTCCTTCCAGTGGGCTTTGTGCTATCATGGTGGCCTCCAGTTGCCTGGTACCAGGCCCAGGGGTGATAAAGGGTGGGGCTTGTGTGTGAGAGTAGCTGAGGAGGGGTTGGGGGTGTGGACTCTGGCCGTTTGGTCTGGACATGAGCTCCCAGCCAAGCCCTTCCTAGCTCTAAGAATGGGCTGACCCCAGGGGGACAGCCTGTCCCAGGCCTGGCCAGCAAGCTCTGTAAGATGCCAAAACATCACAAAATACAGAAAATGAAAGAGGTGGTCAGTAGGACTGCCAGGTGCAGTCCCCTGCCCCTGGAGTGGGTCAGGATGTACCAGGGCAGACCGGTCACAGCATTAGGGCCATCCTGTGTCTTCCCCGGTGTCCCCTCCCCTTCCACCAGCAGCACCTCCTCCATGAAAGTTCCCAGGTGCACTGGGGCTTGGGGGAACTAACGTAGAACACGTCCTCCCACCCACCCCCCTGGTGAGAACGCACTGAGAAATGGCTCACAAACCAGGCAGGTGGGACCCACAGCCACGGCCCCACCCGCAGGAGCTGCGCCAGAGAGCGGTGCTGGGTCTGTTGTCATGTGGGCTTGTGAAGGCCACCCGAGTCAGTGCACACATTCCCCCACCCCAGGGGGTCAGATGCACTCAGCTGTCCCCCCTCCCCACCCCCCACAGGGTGTGAAATGCACTCAACTCCCACCCCAGGGGGTCAGATGCACTCCGCCCCCACCTACCCCCAGGGTGTCAGGGCACCAGGACTCCTGGAGGATGCAGCTCCCAGAACTCCCTGTGAGTGAGCACAGAGCCCTGCTCCTGGGGCAGGTCTCACGGGAGAGCTCAGGTGTGAGGGAGGGGCTGCTCCCCATGCTCCTCCCCTGGGGAGAAGGGGCTGAGGTAGGAGCTGCAGAGAGGCCAGGACCAGGAGCCTTGGAAACTCCCTCCTCATGGAAACAGGCTTGGAGCCTCGTTCCCTGGGGACACACCTGTCCTCTAGTGGCCGTTCCACGTCTTGGAGGAGCATGGAGGTGCCTTTGCACGTTTCTGAGCCATTGGAGCTTAGAGATCCCCCTCTGCCTTCAGATTGGGCTGAGTTCGGATTAGAATGTTAAATACGGGGCCCTGCACACAGGGTTGGGGTCTTCGGGACCCCGTGGCCTCCGGTGTCTCCATTGCTAACCCCAAGGGTCAAGTGTGGGCCTCAAACCAGCTCGGCACAGAAGGGGTGGCCTCGAGCCCCATACCCGCACTGGAAAAGGACACAGGCCTCCCAGGCTCATGGGGTTTGTGCTGAGACAGCCCAGGGAGAAAGCGGCTCAGAGCAGATGAAAGGCGCGGCCAGGATGTGGGAGGAAGACGCTCCTTCCCGTCCCGTGTGCTTGGGCCTGGGCTGCGTGAACACTGCAGTGAGGGTGAGACCTGGTGCTCCTGCATGTCACCACCAGCCCACTCTCAGAGCAGATAAGGCAACGGCCATAATGACACCGAGCCATTGGGCCACCTGGGCTCTCTTCCTCTGACCCCAAGACCCCCTCCTCCACCCTCACCTGGCTTCCTACCGAGAAAAACTTTGAGTTGAAAATTTGTAGACAGAAACATTTCTTTTTCGTGTGTTTGTGTTTTTGAGATGGGGTCACCCTCTGTCGCCCAGGCTGGAGGGCAGTGGTGCACTCTTAGCTCACTGCAGCCTTCAATTTCTGGGCTCAAGTGATCCTCCCACCTCAGCCTCCAGAGTAGCTGGGGCTACAGGTGCATGCCACCATGGGCAGCTAACTTTTTTTGTTTTTATAGAGATGGGGTCTCACTATGTTGCCCAGGCTGGTGTTGGACTCTTGGCCCTGAGCTGTCTTCCTGCCTCAGCCTCCCAAAGTACTGGGATTAAGGTGTGAGCCACTGCAGCTGGCCCAAACATTTCTATACGAAATTTGTACTCAACATGAGCCCGAACCAAGTGTTATTGTTCATTTGTGAGGGGTCTTGAAAAAATTATTTTTCCGCTTAAAATCTTTATTTTTCTGGAGGAAAAAAGGAATGCTGCTAAAAGTGTATTCCTAAGCAAAGAGTGGAGACAGAAGCTCTCCAACCTGAAGTTTTTATCTTAGTTTTTGTCATAGCATTTTCTTCTGTGGAAATAGAATTCTATTTGAACTTTCCTATGGTGTCAACATTTCCCCGTGCTGAACTTTAGGATTTTTATTATAAATTAGAATGGTTTTCTTAACTGAGTATTTTAAGTATTTTAAACCTGATATAGCACCAGGGAACACATGGGCCTTTTAGACTGAGGCGATGAATCTTATAAATTGAGGCAACAGAAAGAAGTGAGAACAATTTGCAGAAGTCTAATATTCTCAGCAAGAAAGGGGGACTTTTCACCTCTTCAGACAAATGAAATTAAAGCTATTTGTCTGCCCCCAACCCCCATTTTTTTTTAGACAGGGTCTCACTCTGTCACCCAGGCTGGAGTACAGTGGCACAATCTTGACTCACTGCAACCTCCGCCTCCTGGGTTCAAGCCTCCCACCCGAGTAGCTTGGATTACAGGCGCACACCACCATGCCGAGCTAATTTTTGTATTTTCGGTAGAGACAGGGTTGCACTACGTTGGCCGGGCTGGTCTCGAACTCCTGACCTCGAGTGATTCGCCTGCCTCTGCCTCCCAAAGTACCGGGATTACAGGCATGAGCCACCGCGCCCAGCCCAATTAAACCTATTTGTGCACAGAACAGCTGACTGTGCTCAGTTCCTCAAAGGTCACGAAGGAGGTGTGTTAAGGGCCTCCCTTCAGAGCCCATCTTGCTGGCGTCACCGTATGTCATGCCTGTCCTTGGGTCTTGGCACAGTGAGGCAGCCCTGCTGCTGGTGGGCCACACTGCGAGGCAAACACTTTGGAATGTGTTCTCAGGCCCTAACGAGGCCTCCCACGCTTCAGCAGCAGAAACTGAACACTTGAATGCACACAGCCGCGGGCCGATGAATTCATCATCCAGGCCTGCTCCCTGAGGGCTCTGGATGGCGGGAATGGGTGGTGGAGCCTCGGGGTCATCAATCCCCACAGCTGAGAGCTCCGGAGGGCGGGAGTGGGTGGTGGAACCTCGGTCATCAATCCCCACACCTGAGAGCTCCGGAGGGCGGGAGTGGGTCGTGGAGCCTCGGGGTCATCAATCCCCACAGCTGAGGGCTCCGGAGGGCGGGACTGGGTGGTGGAGCCTCGGTCATCAATCCCCACAGCGTGGTCCTCAGTGGTGGTTGTGACTCAGTAGGTAAAACGCTGACGGTCGTTCGCAGTTCATTATTGCAGCTCTGTTTTCTGCTGTCTGTATAGTCTGGGACACGCCACTAAGCCTCATCAACGTTCTCAGCTTTGTATTCCTGAAATCTGGATCGGAGCAGGCCCCAGAGTGCTAATGAGACGGCTGTGTGGAGATAGCCATGGCAGCGTCTGGCCTCTGGGCCCAGAAGAGTCACTGCTGCTATTCCTTAAACACAGGGATTCTGTGTCCTGACAGGAGAGATTCTCCCTGACTCCATCGTATCCTGGATGCAGCCAGAGATGTGCATTTTAACAGAGAGTTCAGAGGTGAGTGCTCACATTGCTATGCCGTTAAAAATACTATCGTAGGACCTCCCAGCAGGTGGCTGGATCTAAGTGCAGTTCGGATCACTCTCGGTGCAGAGCTCGCCAGGTGGTTGGTGTCCTCTCCACATGCTCTCCTGGCAAAAATGCCTGTGGTTATTAACTTGTATCACCCCAATGAGACTGTGGCTTGTCACAAACCCCATGTAGGATGAAAGAAGGCTTAGGCATTGAAAACAAACCCTCTTATAGTAAGAGAATCCCAAACAGTTCCCAAGAACTGCAATGTGAACAGCCTGACCCAACCACGGTGGGCTGAGAAAGCAGAGGCTCCCTAGCACCTGCGGACCTCAGCTGCCCATCCTGACAGGTGCAAGTGGACACCTGTAATCCCAGCTGCTCAGGGGGCTGAGGCACGAGAATCTCTTGAAACTGGGACGTGGAGGTTGCAGTGAGTTGAGATCGCGCCACTGCACTCCAGCCTGGGCTACAGAGCGAGACTCTGTCTCACATATAATAATAATAATCTGGCTAAAATCTCCTTCTTGTAACTTTGCCTGTCACAAATTCAGCTTTCCAGTCCAAAATGTACTTGAGTTGAGGTCCCTGTGTTGTGAGTCACTGTGAGAGGATTTATGACTCTGTAAAGTGGGACACCCACGCTTAAGACGCTTACGGAGAGTGACAGAGGCGATGAGCTCTCAGTGAAAGAAAGCAGAGGGGAGTCCTCTAATACTTACACGCAGCCAGGAGCCCATAAGGACACAGAGAAGCAAGCCTCCAGCTGCTGGCACAGATGTCCCCAGCTCCGAGAAGCCACACAAACATCCTGTGTTCTCAGTCACGTTGTCTTTGCTTGTAATCTAAGTATCATTCTCGCATGCATGACTGTCATTTCTAGGCTCACAAAGCAGATGATTAAGAGCAGAAATGCAGTGGCCACAGGCATGCAGCAGGTTGTCCCAAGATGAGCCAGCGACAGGAGGAGAGGGAAGGAAAATGGCAGCTGTGGGTCCGGAAGGCAGAGCAGTATTTACTCT